ACTCTCCTTCCGCCAGCGGGAAACGGAGTGTCTTGCGGAGACCTGCTTTGGAGCCCGGCCAAGGAGATGTCACCTCCTCACCAAGAAGACGTACACTCACATTTTACTAGACCCTGGGAATCTTTTGGCTGGAAAGGGAATGCCTGCTCCATAAAATCCTAAATAACATGGAGAATATGAGTAGGGAATAACTGGTCCATGCACTGGGAAAGAACTGGGGCCATCAAGTCCAAATTTACATGCAGCAGTTTCAAAAACAAACAAACAAAATAACCAGGAAGGTGCCTCTTCCTGAGTAAGGAGCAGAAGACCTTGCTGCAGAGTGTGGCAGATGCCAAGAATTTGCATAGACTCAGAAAGCAAAATCCATAGAAGGGTAATCCATAGAAGAGAAATCCATCCAAGGATATTAAATAAAAGGGCCCATTGCTTGTTTAGATGTTTCAGCTTGCCTGATCAGCTCTTAAGACACTCAACAGTGTCTTGCTCCTTATGCAAGCGTGTAAGTGAATTCCTCCTTTCGGGCAAAGGAGGTSCCGTATCTGCATGAAACAGGCACTGCAAAGCGGCCTCGAGATAACTAACATGAGGCAGAAATAGCCTTCCCGTCCTGCCAGGCAATTTGCTGGTCTGTAATGAGTCATAATCTGTAATAAGTAAAATTCTCCAGGACAAAGACAATCGCATACTGGAAAAGGGCATAAGCAATTATTAAATTCTTCTTTCAATCTTCTCTTTTCCCCTGCTGCGTCGGGCACCCCATCGCTGCGGCGCTGCAGAGGCGCCCGGGCTTTGCAAGCAGCTTGTGCACTGCCCTTGGYGCTGCCGAGCTCCGCTGCCCACGTGGGCTGCTCCGCCAGGCTTAGCCTAGGCTGCCTAAGCTTCCCTGATCCTGGTACTTAGCCAGGCAGGCTTAAAATGCCCGGCGTGTATCTGCAACGCGCTGCAGTTACACTCTGATTATAGGGTGAAATCAGCCCAAGAGAAGTAAAACTAGAAGGAGCTACGTTTCCAGTCGCCTCTGTGAAATGGGTATTAGAGCTGGGAGGCCTCTTGGCAAAATCACCTGGAGCAGGAGGGAAGCACCGAGTGCTGGGAGAGCCCCATGGGATGCTGGACAGCTCAGCTGGCCCTGCGAGGCCCAGTTAGGCCTCATAAACCCCAGTTCACATCTCCCACCTTCTAAGGRAGCCCTTTTCTTTCAGTCAGCGCTCAGGATATCACACGGTACTGACATTTTTCCTGGTACCAGAGGCTGTGTCTGACACTGGGGCTGGCAATCRAATTCATTCGCCTTCCTTTTTTCCTTCCTTCCAACTTAGTAGCCGTCATTCCCGGCAGCAGGTCACCCCAGCACGCTGCAAGGCAGAGATACTTCACGTTGGAACCAAGTGGCAGCAGTCACTGAGTAACATCTAGGTAAGCAGAGCACCCTTCATCATGAACCCGATACGTTTAACAGCTAATTAAATCCGTGTAGGGATTAGGCTTTACATTGTATAGTTTTATGGCAACAAAACCCAAGCTTCCTAAGATTACACTGAGCAGCTCCTTATCTCTGCCGCAGCGATGTTTATCAGCACCATATGTTAAGGACTCCTGCTATGTTCCCCAATGACCTTCTGGGACTTAATCAGCCCGAATGTCAGGGGTCCAGGAGCCAAGGACCTATTTTATGACACGGAAAGCAGCACGCAGCCAGGATGACTGCAAATCCAGGGCCAAAATCCAAGGAAAAGGCCTCTGCTGCTTAACTTCTGTCCCTAATAAATTTGTCAATTAGCAAGAACAAACGTTAGCTCTGTTTTCCTTGCCCTGGCTGTGGCTCTGCTGGGTCGCACGCTGCGAGGTGGCGCAGGGTGTGCACTCAAGTGGCAGAGATGAGGGGAAACCTCAGATGATTCATGGTTTGGGAACGTTTAACATAAAAATAGCAAATTCCAGCTTTATGTAAGGAGGCTGCCCATGCTATCTATGTTTTCCAGCCTCAGAATCACCAAAGAGAGATGTAATTAGCAGGAAATTTCCGTCCCTGATTTCAGTGGCTCCGCGATTGTACGGTCTTTGCCATGTTAGTCACACGCTACTTTTAGGATTAATGAGTACTAGGCCCCGAGAGTCCGGAATGAGCTTGGGAACATTCACATCAGAACAAGATGGGGAGGATCATAATAATATTCCCAGCTGAGGTTTTTAATACCTGTGTGAAAGGGAGTTGCTCATGAGTGGCGCTCTGTTAACATGAAAAATGGAGGCAGGAATCGAGGACATGGTACCTGCTGTCACTGAAAATAGCCATGTTAGAATTTAAAACACCTACCAAGACAGATGTAGCTTGATTCTGTATTCAGGATACAACAAAAAGTCCAGGTGTTTTAAAGGATGTAACAGCTATGGTCCAAGAAAAGAAATGTGGAACTGGCTGCCAAATAAATGGACATATTTATAGAAGCATTTCTTGTTCTTGAACTGATTTTTTCCCCTTAATCTGATTTCCCTTCCTAAAGGAGGTGGGCTACTTCACAATTTTCCAGGTATGTTTAAAATTATTTGTACTCACAAGACCATCTCCCAGGTTGTCAAGGATTTCAAGGCAAAACTCAGTAGCTGAAGTAGCTGTTTTGCAATTTCACTGTGTCACAGGGGCTGATGGTGTTCCAGTAATGCAAACACTACCGACTCACACATCTGATTATGTGTGAGCACAGACTGTCTGTTACACCAGTCTGCAGAGGAAGCAAGAACACAGAATTTATATCCCAAATCTCAGGAAATTCWGCATCTAGGGAAGCTGGACATCAATGATCAGTCTTCATCCTCACCCTTCTGCCAGGRCTCTCCAGCTTGTGGCTCTGCAGGGTGTACTGGCTAAAGTCTTGCCTGTGAAGCAAAATCTGTCATAAAGACATAAATAGGAACATTTCCAGTTGCAGTAAGTAGAAGCTGAATTAAAATTTGAACTTTGTCACTTAATAAGTTTTCATGAATTCTTTGATATCTGATAAGGAATGGCTTATGGTGGTCAGCCTYGCACTGAGATGGACAGACAAGGAGGTCAAAAGATGCAGTTTAAACACAGATTTAAAATAAAAGCAAAATTTGCAGCACAAGGTTGAGAGTCAGTATTTCAGCTCTAAGAATAGAGATTGAAGGAACATATATGTAAAAAGATAAATAAGATTTTAAGGGAAACAGCTTTTCCTCAGGCAAAAGCCCTGGTACAATCAGGTCATCAACCATTCCCTAACTGAAGACCATAAAGACCTTGAGAAGAGATTTAGTCTGTACAAATAATCTAGTCCTCAGACCACTTTTCTGAACACAACTATTTCAATTACCCCAAACAGCTAAAGTTTAGTTAGTAGAGGCACGTGCAGAAGCATTCCTAGTCCTGTGTGACGGTATGAATAACCAGATAAATAACTAACTCATTAGATAGTCCTTGAAGTATAGAGCAGATGGAAAGCTTCCCTGACAACAGAGGGAACTGAAGAAAATATATGGAAGAAGAGTGAACAGATCTACTCATAGCCCCTGCCTTTAAATTTCCAATCCCTTTTAATAAAGTGAAAAGTCTTAGCTATTAAAAATTGTGACCTTTGTAATGCTACAGAACACAGATACAAAATGTGAATAGTACAAGATCCATTATATAATATATATTTATATTTTAATATATTACATTTATTTCTACATAAAGAGGCTATAAATACTGTATAYGCCTTATATTCCTGCTTCCCAGCATTTGACATGGTAAGTACAAACAAACAAAAAGAAATAACCCAGACACTACAAAAATACAAAAAAAACCTCAGTAGAAATAGCTTTACATTTTAAAATCCTGCAGTCTGCATTGTGTCTATCAGCAGAGCTTTGGTACTACAAGAACACAGGCAAAAAGTTGTCCAGTAATTAATCACAAAGACCTCTTGGAGAAGATCTGAGCTGCCATGAAACCGGGCACTGATTCGCCAGACGGCAYGAGCCCAAACCTCTGCTGCCGCCAACAAATTCCGAGTTTGCAAGTGAGAGAATCTGTCCCGTGGCCGRGGGAGGGAGGGTGAGATGCAAAGGTGAGCCCCATTCAGGATACCTCATAGGGCACGGATGCCTACAGCTCTAATGTAAATTACATTGTAAATTACAATGTAACTGGGTCTATAGGCTGACCCAGTGGTGGGGATTTTTTTGCAGTCATCTCAGTCGAGCTTGGAAACAGGTACATAACTGGCAGGGGCTAAGGGGGCACAGGAGGTGGGGAAGCTACCTCCAAAAGCAGCCCTGGAGGGCACGTGCGCCCTGGGCACGTGTGCCAGCGTTTGCATCAGAGTTCTGCCTCCCCCTTATTAACCAACCTGAGGGGCAAGTCTGCCTCAAGGTAGTGCAGCTTATGAGGACTTGTACGGCATTTTTTTCCCCCTCTGTCAAGGACAGAGACCATCGGCCCCATTTATATTTAGCCCAGCCTATGTTTAGTCACAAACGGTCGGTGTGTGCCAGAGCCTTGAGCTGGAGGTTCCTTTTTTTGTTTGTGGAGGTGCAGGCAAAGGATAATGCTGAGAAACAAGAAGCCAGAACTGTGTTGTTTCCTTCCTGGAGTCCAGCCGCAAGAGGAAAAACAAGAAAGCCGGGCTGCATCTTTAGTTCATGCAACTAGAAGCAGCAGGCTGGGCACCGTCCCACTGCCTGTTCGTGCAGACCACGTTGCTGTGTGATTCACCAGGGTCCCCAAGGCCACCGCGCAGCCGCTGCCGTGAGGGCAACACAACGCACACGCGCCGCAGCGAGGCCTTGACATCCTCAGCCACCATCGCCTCTTGAGGCGAGCGTCCCACGGCCTCTCACTGCACAGTCTTGCTGCAAAGACCCTCCTGTATCTTCTTCCCAAAAAAGCAGCCTCTTTTCCCTCAGCCTCATGAACGCAGTCTCTCTATACACACGAGCCGACCAGCACCCGTCCGAGCCCGGGACGCACGTGGCGGGGGAGCGCGCGGCCGCTCGCGCCGCCCTAGAGCGGCGGGGCRGGCAGGGCGAGCGGCTGCGCGCGGCACAGCGGCGCCTCCCGGCCGCACAGCAGTTCCGTCTCCTCGCTGGARTAGACCGCGGGGTCCATGTCGTCCGAGTGGTAGCCGGACTGGTAGCCGCTCGTCTGGTTGGAAGCTTCCGACATGACGGACTCGTTGCTCTCGCTGGGCACCAGCACGCTGCAAAAAGCAAGCACAGGCCTCAAGTACCTGCGGGGACTTTCTCCTGCAGGGCAGGTAAGGGATCCCTGCAGACAGCTGTTTCTCATCACAGCAAGTTAAAAAAATAACAGTGAAATGGTACATTTAACAAAAATAGCTTTAAGCCCTTTCAAACATATGCCAGATCCCCAGGAGAGACGTTTCCATTCACCACAGTTTCAATAACACGTACAAAGTTAAGTTTATGACAGTATAGGTGGACACTGTGGGAGGCAGACTGTGACCACAAGTGAAATAGAGAGAAATCTCTGAGAGGCTTCCCACCTTCCAGTCATGCTGCAACTGTAGCTACACTGTACCTCGGCTGGCACTAAAGCTGTCCTGGAAAAAAATATTCCTCTGAGAAGCTCTCTGAAAACATATGTGAGATATCAGCTATGTGAAAGCTACTGTGTTTCCTGTGAGCTGCAATGCTCTGAAAATACAGCCAGGTACATCCTGAAAACTCAAGAGTCACCTTAAAAAAGTAAAATTACAAAACCGCCCAATTGTGTGGCGCTGGCCCTGGGGTTGTTGCTGCTTCTGCAGCTGAGAAAGACAAGGCCTTTCTGCGGTGCTCTCTGGCCCTCTCAGCAGCTGCCTCACCTCTCATCTCTGTGCACACAGGAGTCTCGTACCAGCCACAGAWGACTGGGCACACAGTGCACTGTTTCTCATTGCCTGCTTTTGATGGCGYAGTAAGAAAAGAGTTTGTATTTTAAGAAAAGTCACATAGATAAGAATCTTCTGAACTACTGCAAACAAAAGGTCAAATTCAATCCTACTTGCAGCCTGAGTCTTACCTAAAGGGTATTTTCACTTGTTTATCTCTTTCTTCCAGTGTCTTCAGCTCTTCAGATGCAAGAACCATCCCACTGTCTGTCTGGTTTTCCTGTAAAGATGTTAGAAATGCATTAAATACAAAGGGATAAAAAGTAGAAAGCTATATTAATAAAATGAAGAGATATACAAAGGAGAGTCTTACCTCCTGAACAACCTTTACTGTAGTTACCAATGGGACATCTTCAAAAGTTTTCACACTCACAGGTCGGCTTTTTCTTTTGCTACCTTGTCGGTACTGACTGAAAAGAAAAAAAGAAAAAAAATGTTTCCACTATCTGCGATTTGGCTGCTAATGGCACAATGATATCAGAATCCTTTTATCTCTACACAGAGAAGTTAATCCTTTTGTCAAAACATATTATGCAAACCTCAAAACATCCACTTATTGAAAAAGATGAGCTGCCTCGAAAATGGCATGCTTCTGACCTTCTGCTCCTGACAACCTTGATCCCCAAGYAAATTCTAAGAAATGGATTTGAGAAAACAGTTCCCTTCCTTAGTAATGCTGGAGGGCTTCATTTCCTGCAAGCTTAGCTTAGAAGTACAATAAACAGAGGAGCCTGCAGAACAGACATGTGCGTCTCTCTGGACTGCACTTCTGAGACCCCTGGCTGGACGCAGGACAACAACTGCAGACTCGGCAGCCCCCTCCCTAGCGCCGCGGGGGGCAGGAAGGGGCTCGGCCTCTCTCTGGAAGGCTCTGCTCTTCTCCTCTGGCCCGGCTGATGTCTGGCTTCTCCTCCAGAGAAGCCCTCTGGCCTGGCTGATGACTGTAACCCAATGAAAAAATAATATAATGGTCTTTGGTGAAAATAGTACTAAAGCATTATTCACCCCGTTTCCTAGCTTTGAGTCAAGACCTGTCCATCTCCAACAGACACTTATTTAATCTGGCAGGGATTCTGCAAAGTCCCTTTGTGGCCTGTTCAGATGCTCAGCTACAATTTGGAATGTTTTTGAAATATTAGCCCAGGTCATTCTTAATGCAAATAACATTTATCCTATTGCTGGAGAACACAATGAACTGTTGTTACCTGGGACAGTAAGGACTAGGAATCCTACGTTTTGCCCATTATCTTTATACTCTGAATGACCATCCAGGACATGCAAGTCCTGCTTCTGCTCGGCCCAAACAAGAGTTAATTTGTATCTTCTACATTGGCTAAAATGAATGAGAACCTCCTTGCTAGGCTAGACTACTGTSCAAACAGAATCAGAAATAYCCCTGGAGCCAGAGAGAGGGAATAATGCGGGGTCTGGCTCCAGCCTCCTGGCTGGGTTCTCAGCCGACGTCCTAACAGTATTTCTTGAAACATGTTTGCGTTTTGAATTAGACTATCATATAACACAGATGAAGATCCAAAAAGCTGCACATAAAATGAGAATCATTTTTCCCTGCTATCTACCAGACCTTTCCTTCTTTCAACGAAGGAAACTTAAATTGGTTTGACTTGATTTGTTTTTGACGAATCCATGTTGGCTCTTTTTAACTGGTCTGTTTTCCCGTAGGCGATTACCATTATTTATTTAATCATTTATTCCAGGATAGTACCCAGGAATCAAGTTAACCTTATCCCCAGATGGCTGCTTTTTTTTTTCGTTCTTTCTGAAGAGAGGGTTCTTCAAATCCTTTTTACCTCACCATCACCTGACAATCTTTCTATTACCAATAGTATTCTAGGGAGCTGCAATATAAGAATATGAACACAGCTGAATTACAAAAAAAAACCCTCATGTGTTCTGTTTCTTAAAAAATAAATAGCAACACTCTTGGGTTTTCCTGAATAAGAATGCCATATCTTAGGACAGTGAAAGAAAAAAGGTTAAGGGTTATCACTGACATCTGGGGAGGTAAGAAACTAGTTTTTGCCTACAGAAAYTCTAAATATTCATTTATATCCCTATGGACAAGGTTAAATATGGACCAGAGCAGCTGAATTCTCTTCCTTTCCTTTTCCCTGCCCCCATCATGAACAAAACTGCTGAGAGGCCCCAATAGGATGTCCACTATATAAAATACCTAATTCCTGCTGTGTTGTCATAATGGAATTTAGGATCACAGACTTCCTCTTCCTCCCTACAGGAAGCAGGTGAAGTTGGGAGAGAGAGCCCTGAATCCTCTTCCATATTCAGTGATACTGACAAAGGAAGGACAATGTAGTCTTTTCCATCCTGTAAAATACAGTGAAATATATAAAAATCAAATATGCTATGCAGATATGTAGACAGTTACTTTAAATGATCTTTAAATGATATAACGTAATGTAATGCAGAATCAGCATTTTTCTTGATGTCTTTGAAGTTAGAAGTGCAATTTTTAATAACGTTTGAATCACAGTAACATAAAGAACAAGAAAATGAAGGAAAAATAACTTTAAAAAATGAGATTGAATTGGACTACAGCATATGAATTATAAACACTGAACTAAGCATAAAAGGCAAATAAAGAAAAGAATGAAGCAGACAGCAAATAAGGAAGTTTTCTAAAATTACTTTGGCATTTAACTTGATATGAATAACAATAATTATATTCTTAAAAATGTTCTTACACTCATTTGAATTTCTCCTTAAGGTATCAAGAGGAAAATGGATTATGCATCCTTTGGTAATGCTTTATTACCAATACCATAGGAAATCCTTTAGCTGGGATCTATCCTTTCTCAACTGTAGTCTGCACAGAAGATGTGGTGATTTTACAGAACAGGGAATTCCCATCACTAGGGAGAYAGGATAGGGAGAACAAATCTAGAGAGAGAGCAGGAGGCAAAATCCTGCCTCAGTTTAAAGGATTTGCATCTATTTCTCAGGCCTAGCCCACATTTGCAGTATATGAAGAGGGAGCCACAGAACAGAGAGCCAGGAAGGAGGTCCATTTATTCCAAACAGCAGGCTCACTGCTTGTAACATTTGACAATTTTTAGCACTGTCATACCCATGGAGATGCTCATATGCAGAGGAATGCCTGTGCCTTAATTTTCTGAGAATATATTAAGACATTGTGGCCTATATCCTTATGCATGCTATCTTCTAGATAGTATAAACACATGCTACCTATCTGCTATAGTGGAAAAATCAGTAGGAATAACCTGTTGAAATGGCTCTGCAGTTAGACAAATACATGGAAAATGGAAACAGAGCAGGGAAGTGAGCCTCAGCTGGCAACTCACTAGCAACCCAGTTATTCAAAGGTAAGTAGCCAAAGCAGTGGTGTCTTGGGCAACCCTTGCTGGCAGGGTGACTTCTGGTCACCACAACAAACCTCCATGATCTTTTCTCTTCCAAGTCATTCTTTTCTGATAGTTGCACCAACTGCTGATAAATGATGAGAGCAGTAGAAAAAATGGGAGGAGGCAGTACCAGGCACAGGATTTCACCATGGCTGGGGGGCAGGTGGGGTTCAGCTGGTGCTTTTACCAAGCTCAGAATGTGTTTCCTGTACCTGGCGGACATTGGCTTGCAGTAAATTTCCCAAGTGTTCCACTAGCTCAGAAAAAGTTGGCCTTTGTTTAGGATCTCCGTGCCAGCAATCCAGCATCGTTTGGTACCTAGAAGGATAAGGCCATTACAATATCAGCACAAAGAAGAGAAGAGCACATTGCTTATTTGAGCACCTGCTATTACTGTGAGATATATGTGGACAGTTAGAAGAACAGGTTCTCACATTTCTGGTGTTGTATAGTCTGGCGCTCTCATTCTTGTTCCTTCTTTCAGCCTTCTGCAAAATTCCTCATCAATTTTCACTCCAGGATAGGGTGAAGCACCTAAAATGACAGCAATGGTAATTTTAGTGTATTAGACACATTCTATTTTCARTTTCCAAACAGATAATTCACTGTGGTTTGAGTTAATAAGGCAGTTCAGCATATTGGGATGCACAAATAGTTTATATTTATGATGACAATGGCAATTGATTAAATGAGGCACATAATCATGTACTGAAATTGTATGAAGATGCATTTAAATCCACATTCTTATAYTTGTACTTTGAGGGAATTTGAGAATTCTATCTTTGATGGAGAAAACAAATATCAAACAAACAAAAAAAAGGCTTTAATAATTTTTGAATTTTTGAAGAAATAAAGTGTTAAAGATGATCCAAGAACAACTCTACTATTTTCTTTAACAGGCATTTACATTTCAAGATGGCTCAGTAACGAAATTGAAGTTGCTCACCTAATGAGAATATTTCCCAGAGCAGAACTCCAAAAGACCATACATCACTCTGAATGGTGTACACTCTATCAAAAATGGTTTCTGGCGCCATCCATTTTAGGGGCAGTCTTGCCTAAAAGCATGAGAGAAAGAGAGAAAGAGAGAAAACATGTTGTTTATTAGCAAAACAGTGAGTTTCCTCAAATGCACTTATGGTGAAAAGGGAGTCATGACTTTGACTCAAATCTTTTTCAAGAAGAGTGTCTGAAACTTACATCTCCTTTCCTGACGTAATCTGGGTCTTTGTAGATGTCTCGAGCCAAGCCAAAATCACAGATTTTGACCACATTATTGTCTGACAAGAGGATATTACGAGCAGCCAAGTCCCTGTGGATGCACTGCAAAGAGAAGTAAACAACCTGATATGCTGCCTGTTGTCACAGCTCTGTCCACAGAGCTGATCTCTTTCACATATGTGCTCTCCCACCCTCAAAGGCCAGATAGTGCTTAAAACCTTTCTAAGCAAAAGAAACCTCAGCATCAACTGTTACAGATTTTAAGTGTTTTTTTGATGGTCACAACTGATCTGGCTCAGAATGACTTGTATTCCCCAGTCCAAACATACATCTGTTTATTCACTATGTAGGCAGGGGCTTTGAAGTTAGCTAATTAATTATCCTAAGGAGCCGACACAAAACAGGTTCAGATCTGATTATCTTTAGAATTACGTAAATCTGTATGCTCTACTCTTCCTCTAAAAAAAATATACCATGCTGAATTCAATTCCAACAAAAAGTAATCTGGATTTGAGGAACTAGCAAAGTCCATATCCATATTTTAGCCAACAGGCTATAACATCTTAAAGCACAAACTTCAATAATTTGAAGTAAAACAGGCTCTGTAGGAGGCTGCAGATTAGTTTCCAATACGGAATAGAAATACAGATCTTGGAAAGATGGACATATATACACCAATCAGGATGTATAAAATGTAGACCAATGTACATTCACAGCAAAGGCTCTGCAGTCTGCGCTTTTACACCTAAGGTACATTCTAGAGCAGATTATAATCCCAGCCTCTATTTCCTTTTCCTGTGGGTTAGTACACTTTGTTTTTTTAACAACTGCAGGTAATTCTCTCCCTTACCAGCACTTTAGGATCAACTCCTACAGAAGAAGGCCAAAATGCAGTGGAGATATTATCAATTGCCTAAATTGAGGGTTGGGTTTTTTTTTTTTTTTTGTTTTTTTTTTTTCCCAAAAGATTCTCAAAGGGAGAGTCACGGAGCTTCACATACAAGCATCACCTCTCCTCACACTGTCCTTCCAACCCCACCACACAAGCTATAGGCAACTTCTTCAGAGCAACCTTCCCTCTAGTTCAGCACTAGTTCAGCTTACTAGGGATCTGTCTCTAATCCCTTTAATCGTCCTCAGAAGCCAGTTCTCCTCCTCCAACTACTTAATCATTCTTTTGGAAATCAGTGACCCACAAATCATATACAGATCACTAACATTTGTGTCAATAAATGCATGGCCTGTTGCACTCTGCAATATTATGACTCAGATATGTCTCAGGGCAAAAAGAAAGCACTGGAGATGACTGTAAGCCTAACGATGAATGCACTGTTTCCTTTTATAGATCTACAGCACTACTTCCTACAATCATATAAATAACATGCCACTTTTCCTGAGAAGTTCCTTACTTTGCGTGAAGCCAGAAACTCCATTCCCCTTGCCACCTGGAAGCTGTAACAGATGAGGTCCTCCATGGTCAAAGGGTTCTTGCAAACATCTTCAGGACCAGCTGCAAAGAATCAGATGACAGTCAAGCCTGCCCCCTGTCCCTGGTTTTGCCTATGACTGCTCCTTAGGTAGATGCCAGTGCTGAACTTAAGCTACAGGACGCCGATCCCTTTTTCAACCATATACATTAGCACTATTAGCTTATTAGCACTTAGCTTATTTCCACAGGTCTCAGCAGTGGAAGGAGTGCAAAACACTTCCAAAATAAAAATACCCCGAACTCCAGCTCACAAGTTCCTAGGGCAAGAGAGGCTTTCATTTCACCAGATGGCTTTGGAGACCAATGAAAGGAAGGCCCACATAGCGTACAACATGCCCTAGAAAGACCTGAATTTGGCAAAAGCTCCATTAACTTAAGCAAGAAGCCTAACCTCATCCCAACCAAGGGATGTAGGGAATAATGTATTCAAGTACTAAAAAAGCTGCCTAAACATTTTGTTTCTGCTGAAAAAAAAACTCACACAAACACAAAATAAGGATGGGTTTCTGCTCAGCTCTTGATTTAAAGAAGAAATCTATCAACAATTATAACACTTGTAGGTAAGCCTTCATCTTAAGGCTTTAGGCCTGATGACCATTTCTTACATCATCACAACTCAGATAGTCAGTGGTTACACCAGAGAGGTCTGAAAAGGACAAAAATGATGTAAAAATGCATGGGAAAGTGCATGTCAGGACTCATCTATTAGATCACATTGAAACAGGAAGACTATTCTTTTCGTTAAGCTATGGATGTTTTCCTTTACATTAAGTAGTTTCTCATAGAAGTCCAGACACAGACAGTTGAGCTGTGGTCTCCATCCAGACCAGCCTGATCCTACCACTTGCTGAAATCAGCTCGCTCTCAAACACTTTGGCTGCACTGAGCACTTAGGTCTGCCATTGCCGAAGCATAACATGGCAAATGCACCAGTGAAACCACTGCAGAGTATACGTGTTCAGGGGCATCTTGAAATGAGAATATGAAACAGGGTTCCTCTTCCTGACATACAGAGAAAGAAGCCAAATCAACTTCTCTGCTAATAACCACTGAAGCAGATGGCATTTCATGACATTTAACTTCTGGGCAAACACTAAGTAAAACCCTGGCAAATCCTGGAACATCCCTGTCTGCACTGCTTTCAGAATGACTCCCCCCGATCTATCCTGAAGACACCAGAATGCTAGAAAGACTGAATTTCAGAAGACAGTACGTGCCCTACACATACATACATTGTTTCTGGATTGTAAATTATTTGGGACTGGGTCATGGGTTTGGAATGCTAGAGTGATCCATAAATGAGGAGCTTTGATCACCCAGGAAACATTCTGCACAGTTTCAAGGGAATACTGAAAATCACTCAGGCCCTCACTCCCCACATCAGCCCTTGCCAATGAAAGCTGTTTGAAAAACCAAAAGAAGACATGTCCTACCATCCTCTTCTTCCACATCACTCAGGGACCGCTCTTCCACGAACCCAGAGCTTGCTGAGCTCTGGCTGCTTGTGATGCTGTCCAACCGTTGCTTTGGGTCTGCAGAGATATCACCAACGTAGTTCTCTTTGCCCTGCCTAAACCTGGCACTCTTAGTCTAGAAAGGAAAAGGGGAGAGGAGGAGGGGAAAAAAAAGAAAAAGCACATCAGAAGTTTTTCCAGCAGAGGAAATGATGCTGCACCCACTTTGCAAGAGGGGCATCACTGAAGGTATGTTGAGACAACAGCTCGCATGGGCCTCTGTGCTGCTCACTCAGACCTTGGAGCTGGCAGTGCAGGCAGGCCAGCACAGGCCTCTGCTGCAAGGTGGCCCCAGCCTGGTGCTGCCTTGCCTGCCTGGGCTGCTGCAGTGAGTGCACTAGCAGCACCAGCCTGTCACCACACAGGCTTGCCAGCTCTTTGCACTCCTTATCCCATGGCCTTTAGGCTTTAGGCTGCTCCCACGTCCTTCCTGCTGCCCCCAGCGCAAGGGTTCTGGGTGTAAGAAGCTGACCATGTTCACAGGTGCTGGGCTGTCTGCCCCTCACAGCCTGTGGCCTGTCTTTGGCTAGACGTGGCTAGCATGAAGCTAGTGAATCCCCTTTCATCCTGCTCTACTACTTTCATCTCTCTACTACTCATCTACTCTTCATCTTCTGCTGCAAAGACTATTCTGCTAAACCTTAACCTTGGTGAAACCCTGAAGAGCTCTCAAAATATGATTTATTTCCCTCTTCTCCTAAGCCACTGAATGCATCTGGAGCGAATCCCAGATCTAAAGACTTCCTCTACTCCTTTYCATTCTCTCCAGCTTCAGTTTTGTTACTTGCTTCCCATGGCAGCACTAGCTTTTTCCATTASTGATTCCCACTGCCATTGCTTGTATAAGCAAAGGTCAACACCCTTCTGAAACTTTGCCTCGTTCTTCACAGCCTCTCAGATATTTGTTTATCCCCTTTTTACCTCACAAAAGCAAGTTATGTTTGCCAATATAAAATAGTAAACAATGGCTCCAAGGATAAAGAAAAATAACCCCCTGGAGAACTGATAAATATTTTTGAAGAAAATGACTGATCTAAATACAGCAGCTGCAGGAAAACAGAAGCTACCAACACAGCACAAGAGCCTCCCTCTGGGTTTTGGGGAGGAGGATTAGACTTCTCGTTCGTGGTGTTCATTACTGAGCACCCACAACCATGTTCTTTGTCAGGTATGTGATTCTCAGAGGGCATGAATCCACAAAACCCTCTCTGGAAATCAACCTCCCTCACATATGTATCAGAAAAGAAAAAAAAAAAAAAAAAAACTCGAAAATGACAGCATCTATCCCTCCTTTAAAACAAGAATGTAAATGTGGGCTGTTGTGATGCAAGTCCTCTCTTGTAAACAACCTTTAAGAAGTACAAATTACCAAACTCAATAGATACTTTGAATACACAAAAAGATTAATTGCACAAAATCTGTATAGGCTGGTTCAACCATGTCCCAAAATGAAACTGAAAAGATTGTGACATGTTGAAAAATATCTATATTTGATGCATATATACACTAAGCTGAAAGGGCATTTATTTAAGGTGTTATGGAGCTTATCTAAGAAAGGAAAAAAATCAGGTTGATAATCAGAAAAAACTTCCTGGCAGATAGAGCCAAGTGTAGAATAATCAGCCAAGGGAAACAGTGGAAGTTCAGTTTCTTTGCACATTTTAAGCTAACAATAACAAAAGAGCTACAATGCAGGGGCAAGGGGAAAGACTGCATGACCTCTGATGTCTCTGCCATCTCCCATTCCTATGGGAAGTACTAGATACGCTTATTAAACATCCTCAAGAACTGCCACTACACTCCCCAGGAGAAGCAGAAAAACTGTGTGTGGAAGAAAAAAAAAAAGTATCAAACATTATACAAGCAATCTTGATTCCAGTACCTTGTATGGAACAAATTCACTCCTCTTGCTCCGTAGGTAAGCTGACAAATTTCCAAACTTGCAATATTCCACAATCACCATCAGCGGCCCTGATAACATGCAAAATAATTATTTAGAAAGATCATTTATAACCAAGCTTATCTTAAGCATTATTTGTGATTAGAAATATATACATTTCTAAAAGCATTCTACTACTTTCACCAAGATTTAAAAATACTACTACTACTAAATAATATTTGAAGCAGGAACATGACTCCYTTTTCTCTAGTATAATGTAGGAAAATAAAGCATGTGCTTTTCAAAAGGTTGAAACATATGCAACTGAATGAACTTCAGTGCAGTTAACCATTCAGCTGCAGTAACATATATAGGTATGTGGCTATCTATGCATTTTTGTACAGACAGTGAAGTTCTAAAAACTTAAAAGAGGAATCTGTTTCAAACACAGATGCCTTAACATACAGCCTAAATATGTTACTTTATGCTCAAATTGCTTCTTATATACATGTTACATTAACGAATTTCCACTCTAGTTCCAGATACTGGATGTGTCTATTGTATTACAGAATAAACAAAAMAAAAAAAAAAAGAAATATTTATAGATTATGTTCCCTTCAACAGCTTTCATGGAGTTTTATAAATTAAATTCAGATCCCAGAGTAAACCAACAAGTCAGCTTCCCTGAAAAATCACTGCAAAGTTACTTTACAGTAATTTTGTAACTGTAACATTACAGTAACATTACAGTATACTTTATAAATSAGCATGCAGTGATGGTTTGTTAAACTAAATATCTGTCCCAGACTATAAAGTAAAATAGGTTAATTCCCCAGGGCTGGAATACCAATTGCAATAGCACCTCCTATACACACACATGCACAAATGTGCACACATACACCCCTCGCCACACACACACACCATCCAAAGCCAAGGAGAGRGGTCACAAGCTGCAGCTGCATGGCAGCCAGTGTGGAAAATAAGGCAGACTTTYGAAAGCTGGTATTGAGTGCACACTCCAAGATACGCAGGAGGTGCCCATTTTAAAACTGAGCTGAGGTACAGAAAGACAAAGTGACAGAACAACCCAGGAACAGAGCTAGATGTAGAACTCAGGGCTTGGGACCCTCTTGTTCCTGTTGCTGAACCTGCTCACTCTTATTAGTAATCACCCTGGTGCCATTATCTAGAAAGGACACTTTCTTACAATTCTTGGTGATGAAACTCATCTCTATGTGCCCCAGAGGGTTTCATGAGCACTTGCCTGCTCGCTGAAAACCTGGAGGGCAGCCCCAGTACTTACCTCCTGGTTTTGTGCAAGCTCCAAGTAGATTGACAACATTTAGGTGATGACCAATATGAATGAGAATCTTCAACTCYGACATAAGTGCCCTGTGCTCGCTGTGAGTTGCACCCTCTGTAAAGGTAACAGAACACAGGTGAGAAGACACAAAGCGCTCTCCCTCCTCTGACTCCCTTTGCTTTACTTTTTCAGCCCATCTAATGAGAAGTCTTGTCTAATGAGAAGTCTCTGCAGGCTGCTCGAGCACCAGGAAACTGGAGGGACAGGTTGCACCCTGCCGTTACAGCACACTTGTCCCATGGGTGATGAGTTTTGGCAGTACAGAACAGCCAGTGTTCGTAACAGTGCCTAAGCTCTGCCACAATTCAAGCCATACCGTAAGAAATCCCCTGGGCCTCTCCCACCCTTCCTCCTGTACAGCACATGGCTGGGACACATGTCCTGGCCACAGAGAGCCCCACTGCGCTGTTCTAGCTAAGTCCTCTTCAGGAACTCTGCTTCTGGGAACTGTAGCTTTGAACTTTCCTGTGGCGAGTGTGAGGCAGTAGAACATGTTATAAAGCAAGCAGAAAACTACTCCTCATTTTGGAGCCYGGTTAAGTCATTGTTTGAGACTTGGCAGAAAGCTCCCCTGTTGGGCAGCATATAACAAAAATGGCCACGTGCAAGCACTTGCAGCAGCAAGTTCACTTTCTGAATGCTTCTAGACTTATAATGCAATGGTCAAGAAACCACAGTGCCATTGATCCAGTTGCTGAAGAGATTAAGGTCTGTACTTGGTCTAGTCACTGTTTCATTACACTTGTTAAGCTAAACTAGTATATATCATTGGGACAAATATGTTGGTTGCTTTTGTTCCCTTTTCCATCTGCAGGTTATGAAACTGGCAACATCCACACATTGTGTCTTCAAGGTGAAATGTCAGCAATTGTTTTTACCTTTAAGCATTTTGACTGCCACTGTTTTGCAGGTTGCAGTTTTGTCAATCCCAAAAGCATCTGCTTCTATCACCTGGCCAAAAGCTCCACGTCCAAGAGGTTTGCCTTGAGGGGAGGAGGAGAACAGACTGTGATTTATTTGCCTGACACAGAGGACAAAAGATGTAGAATAAACAATAGCTGGAAATTCAAATTATGTATTAGAAATAAAAAGAGGGTTTATAATAGGGAGAGGATAGATTAAATATAATCAGTAGCTTTTTCTCCATGGTGGAGTCAGATAGGGCTGCAGTCCAGCAGCCTTCTACATCTCTGACTGGCAGCATGGAGAAAGAGCATTCTGTCATCTCACCCAAGTACAGAAAAGAACTGCTCTCTGACAGTGCCAGTTCTGCACACAACAGCCCCAGAGCACTCTCCCAGTGCCTCCAGCAGCAGGGTAGCCCAGGGAAAACAGGCCACGTCCTTACGGACGCTGCTGGCCCCGGGCTGCCACGTTCCTACTGGTTTACGTGAGAGAAACGCACCCAGCTTCAGCCGGTCCCTGGGAAACTCCCACTTGCTGGCATCATACGGGAGCCGTTCACAGTGCTCGTCTATAGGGACTTCATCAGGATCCATTATGATTGACAAGTAGCCAGTCTTCATGTCCCCTCCATTGGCCTGGAAAATTATATTAGTTGTAGTTGCACAGATTTTTCAGTGGACACATGCAGACAAAGTGCCAGTTTCTCACTCTGTAGTGTTCTACTACTTCCCAGAAATGCCAAGCTACCATTCCCCTACACAATGTCATTGTGAGTCTGATCATCATTAATTACTTGTATTTTTAATAAACAGAAACAATTAAAACACTTTTTCTCTTCTGAGGGCTGGGTCAATTAAAAACAAATCTCCGTGCCTTCAGTYGCAGGCAAGAATGTTATGGCATGGAGAGAAAAAATGTGTATGTTGATTTAAGAACAATGGAAAGAAACAACACAAAAGAACTCTAGTCAGCTTTCATTTGTCATGCAAGACCAGTGCTGATAGGACAGTAAGAGAATTATTTCATTACCCGCTTAACGGTCCGAAGGATGATTACAAGAAGCAACCAGAAGAACATGGCAATCACTGCAGTGCCAACTAGGATAATGAGCTCCAGGTTTGTTTTCTCTTCAGCGCCTGGGAAGAAATAAATGAATATCTGAGTGATAGTTGGAAACACACTGGTTTTGTTCATTCATTAAAGCACAGAATAGAGTTCCTTGTTCTAAAGGTTCGTTTTAAAAGTGCAACATGTAGCAAGAAAATGAAAGCAAAGCAAAACAAAAAGCTTGCTTTTTAGGTTGGAATATTACTCTTAGTTCTGCGTTGTTTTATGCCACACAGCTGCTTAGCGTCAGCTTTGTTTGTCGGATACTGAATGGGGATAACCGAGGACAGAATCTGGACCTTTGACAACTACAGTATTGTATTTACAAAAAGAAATCATTGCTTTGGAATATCCCAAATCAATGACTCTTCTCCAGAAAATAAAGATATATATAYGTGTGCGTATACACAGATACACACACACAAGTATCTCATGTAGTAAATAAAGTGCTGTGAGAGTGATCCAGAGAACAATTTCTCGCTTGTCTCCAGTGACGGCATGAAAAAATGTGGGTCTGCAACAACACATGAAAATAAAGACTTATTTACAGCATCCCTTTTCCACTTCAAAAGTCACCAGCAAATGCCACTTGAACATCTACTGATGCACAAGAGCAGCTCTCCTCTTCAGCCCTCATTCCCCATATTACGTTCTATTGCACCACATAGTTCCTTTTTTATAACACACTGAGTTACTGAGTTTTTTTTTTTTYCCACTTTTTGGCCCCTTGTAAGCTGCATTAGAAATTCCTGACTGTGAAACAACATGACATACAAACATTTATGATTTTTACAGACCTGAAGATCACAACCCAACTGTATTTACTGCATCAGCTGAAATCGACATTAATGTTATCTGCAGACAATTTCTAACTCATATAAAGATAGCAAACAACATCTGGATATTCTAMTGGTCTACAAATAAGAAACTGCTTTAAATAGCTTAATGCAGTACAATGGACRATCACTACAGAGCCTGCTTAATTAAGCCTGCAGTCCCTTACACCAAAACACTATCTGTGGCTGTCACTGAGATCACAACAGACTGCACAAAGACTGCACTCTGCTTTTTGTAGATGCTGAGACTGTAATTAGATTTAATTTTTAAATTACTCTTTAAAATCATCATTTGACAGCTGAGTTACCAAGAAAATAGAGATGTCCCGAGAGTACTGCACATGCACATAGATTAGGTAGGTAGGTATAGGTATATACGTACCTGACAGCGCATATATACTGACAGTTTTAAACTGTTTAAGATGACAGTTTTCTGTGCAATAGATTTGGCTTTTGTTGAAACCCAAAAAACCTTGCGGAGAAGCAAGCAGCAGCCTCAGCAGCTGGAATTATGATGCTGCCAGTTGGTTATGATAGGACGAGTCTGAGTTTTTTTTTTTTTTTAATTACTACGACTTTCAACAAGCTTCATGATATAATTTTAGAGCTCTCATCAGCACAGCAGTTAATTTTCCTTTTAGTGTTTGTAACAGTTTCACAATCTAGAAACAAACTGCTACTAACCTTCCACTGTAAAGAAAGCCATTGCTTTTTTGCATCCAAGAACATTGCAAGCAAGGCAGGTGTATAGCCCGGCATCTTCTTTCCTCACTCGACGTATRGTTAATGTTTTATTTCCATCTTTCAAAACAATACCTGGAAAAGMACAATTATTTTTATTTCTGCTAGCTTTTTGACAGGTTGTATTAAGAATTAAATTTATTTTAGCTTTATAACTGTYCACATAATCTTAACAAGTATGTTACACTACAGTAAGAATAAGAAACATAATAATAATAGAAAAGACTTTTAAAGGTAGAGTTAAACACAACCTAAAAATTGTAACAGATTTGTGACAAGCAAATATCTGATAATTTTGTATAGTATCAAATGAACATTTGATATCATTTGAAAAGGTTGGCTTCAAGTTTTGGACCACTTTGAAACTTTCTAAAAAGTAATAGTGGGTAATACATAGAAATGAAATGTTRCTTCCAAAGGAGAAAAAAACAAAAAACATTTTCTTAGAAATTCAAAATGACACTTTTTGTGATGGAAGTTAGCAGTGTGCTCATGAAAGGAAGCCCTTAAATGCTATAAAATTCATAACAAAGGAGCACTGCCTCACCAGAATCTTCCACAAGTGTTTCATTATTTTTAAACCACACGATGTTGGGAGGAGGAATGCCATTTGCTGTGCATGATACTTCTATAGTTTCACCAACGTTTGTTGTTTGATTTTCCAGATTTCTGATGAGTGTGGGTGCCATGGGCTCTGTTGGTGTGAAAATAAGATAAAACCTCTGAGAATTAAAGAAACATTTACTTTTGCAATACTAGTACTTACTTGGTAACACATTTGACCCAGTAAAGMAGTCTCAAATCCTTTCATAACATCAACAGTCTTAAGATTCATGTAAAGATCATAGTTAACCTTCCACATCTTATGGGACAGTCATAACACTAAAGAAAGTATTTAATAGTGTTGATGTAACCCACTTTGGACTATAAAATTTGTATAATTTGTTGAGGGAAGAGGGCACAGGAGAGAAATTGCTTCTCTCTCATTTGTATTTTCAGGCCTGTTATAAGAAGTCTTATATTGTTAGTCCTTCAGACACTGGCTCAGGACAGCCCATGAGCACATACAGGGATTCTTCCTAACTGTCACCACAGCTGCCTAATCAGCCTAATCATCTGGACCTTCCAACAAAATCATCCGTATTTTCATCAATAGCTAAATGATTAAAGTTTGTTTTGCTATTATCAAATAATGCTGAAATTTAGACAACATATCAAATGATATATATCATTTGATACATATAATATCAAATACATACCTATGATACATATATGACATGTATATGTATCAATGATATATATAATACATATGAAACATATCATCTCAAACTCAAGAATCAATGACACAATGCAGTAACACTGATGCCACCAATATAAACATGTGTTTATAGTTCAAGTGGAAAGGGGGTTTTGAAATGTAAAACTGAAAAGTTATTGAGCTGGAAACATGTGCTATTATTTGGGCAAAAGCCAAACTCGACTGCTTGCACAGCACAATTGCACTGGCAGTGTTTCCTCACTGTTACTGATGAAAACGCATATCCCTTGAGAGCTCCCAGACCTACAACCAGCAGCAGTCAATATGTTCAAGGCATCCCCTTGCTTAAAGCAGTGCAAATCTATTTAACAAAATGAGGGCACTAGCAAGCATCACATGCAGGGGCTGAACTGATCCAGGATTGACACCATCACAGCAGTTTTCACATGCAACAACGCCTCAGTTCAGAGATATACACACCTTGAACAGTGAGATGCTTGACCAGGCAGTGCTGTGTTTTAGCCTTTTTGTCCTGAGCAATACACACGTAGTCCCCTGCATCCTGGAGAGAGATGTTAYGGAGGATAAGCTCCAGGGTGACGTTTTCACCATTGGTATTTGAAACCGTCGCGTTCAACTTCTGAAGAGCATCAAGGTTCTTGCAAACAGGCATGGGTAGCCCTCCAAAGGGCGTCTGCGAGGCGTGAGCACGGAGTTTGTACCACGATAGATTCTCAAAGGTGAATTTGTCTGCTGTGCATTGCAGGGACATGTTATCCTTCTCTGTGAGCTGATTCCGGGGCTGGAGATTAATTTCAAGACCCCCTGCAAAATAAAAGATATTTCTATTAGGTTGTACATTTTGTTACCAACATAACTTGAGAAAGTTTGCTTGGAAACCTGTAAAAGGAGTCTTATTCTCCTTTTACCCAGATATAAATGAGGAAATAAAACCCAGATCACAGGATTTTTTTTTTATAAAGAAAATAATCTCATTAAGCAATACATTCAATATAGGTTAAAAATTGGCCTGCATAATGAATAGAGATCCTCTTCTATAAAGATTCCTAGCAGCCTAAGGTGATACATAGCATTATTTTAAGGTTTAGATGGATTAAAGCATATCTTGTGGTGAATTCTTAGATTCTCATTAAATTTTAGTTAAATTTGGTTTAAAATATTAYTTCAACATATAAATACAGAGGCTAATTTCAAGAAGATAGAAGCTCTTTTTCGCAGTTTTGAAAATGTTACTCTTAGCTTTTATGGTATTATACAACGGCAGTCATGTTGTGACACTAACACAATTTCTCCCTTTCTTTTTTTTCCCAGTGACTRCAGTAGCTCAAGAGCAATCACTGTCAGCACAATGGTGCCCATTCTACATCATTTTCATTGGGCTGTCACTCCATTGATGCCAATGGAACTGAGCACTCAGGAAAAGGTAATTAGTGATTTTAAGGACTGCACTAGGAAAATAATCAGTTGGCCACACGGATTATAAAAGATAGAAAGCAAAAAACAGTGTTGAAGCTCAAGTCATTAGTAAAGCCGAGGAAATAAGACTAATGTTTCACCAAGGTACTTACTGGTCACATGAAAGGAGATAACTCTCTCACTTGACCCAGCCTTGTTTGTAGCTGTACATCTGTACAAAGCAGACACATTTGCTGCTTGAATCACAAGGGTGCTCACAGTCTAAAGAAGAACATTTGAGTGTCAGTGCAATTGCTCGGTAAAGTGTTGTGTCTTTACAAAATCTATTACAAAAGATCTTTACAAAATCTATTTATTTATCTGCAAAACTGAAAATTCCTCTCAAAAATGCAAGATGTGGTGTGCAGTTTGTTATTGTYGCTCTCATTTTCTTTTTTGTTTAGGTATGTAACAGTACGAGAAAAGAAAATAACAACAAGCAACCTGCTAGAATGCACACTTCAGTGTATGCATTAATATTTTTTTTCTCCTCCTCAGTCACTCCAAACTCCACYTAGTGCAGTTAAACGGTGACATTAATTCACCTGGCTCCAGATTCATAAGGAGTAAGCATTGAAATCTAAGTCAGGTTCCTCAATAGAGGATCASTTTGGGTCAGTGTCTAAAATATCTGAAGCATCTCTGCTACTTTCAGCAGGAGCTTAAATGACTAGGCTAGAGCAGATCCCTAAGTTTTAAATGACTAATACTAAGCAAAAAGAGGCTCATCTTTAACGACATACGTTCAGAACCTTGGACCACTGAACAGTACTAAACATTTCCAAGTAATAGAAAGGAAAATCTGCTCACCTTCATTTTCCCAGCAATGGTAACAACTCGATGTTTAATTTCAACCTGATTCCCACCCTTTTTCTCTGAGATCACTTTCCATTTCCTGCATGAATATGGATTGGCTCCGGAGCGAACTTTTCTGAGAGATAGGTAGAGACATATGCGTTAGATAAGGAGAATATTTAGCTCTTCAGGAGTGTGGATTGTTGTTGTTCTCTTTATAATATATAGATACTTACTCATAAATCACTTAGATAAGTGGCCCCACCCTACATCTGAGAGGAGAAGAGTATGTTCTGGAAAAACTGCTATTAAACTGGACCCTATAACCTTCTGAGACCTTTGTGCTCTGTAAAATAAGAATTCCTCAAGCCTAAAGGTGAATCTCCTAATTAATCTGCCTATGTCAGCTCAATTGGGATGCTTGGAGGAAAGCAGCTATTCTGGGAACAAATCTCCATTCATAAATAGAGGATTCAAGTTAATTTAGTTCAAAGGAAGACACAGAGACATAGAAATCACTGAAGTCCCTTAAAGAATTTCTTGAGGACAGTAGCCCTTGTGTAGGAAGCAACCAGGCACCAAAGGAAGAAGCTAGTGGAAGTCATTTTAAAAACAACAACAGGAAAGAAGAATGCTTTTTTTTTTTTTTTTTTTTTTTTTTTAAGAGGAAATCTGGGCTTATGGCAGGCGCCGATAAGGAAGGCTGCGTGAATCTCGGTGAGGCACTCTCTCTATCATTCCCCAGCATCAAGCAGCGCACTTCCTCTGAGATACACTTTCACACAGATAAAGAGCACCCATATATTCAGCACTTGACCAGAGCAAGAAAGAAAAAAAACAATAAAAAAACAGACACAAAGATCTGCAATTAACAGAAAGAGCAAATTTCCTGCATTTGGGGTTGAGTTTTGAGCCTGCAGCTGTCCACTGAGAGATCTGATGCGAGAGTACACAGACAGTTGTCTTCAAAATCCAGCACAAACTAAGATACCTTCAGGAAGGCAGGAAGACAACAAAGGAGAGCTGCTGGCTTCTCAATGAGGGTGACGGCAGTTCCTGGGCCTGAATTTTGCTGTGTCTAACTCAGCCTAGCCATTGATACCTGTACAGGGTGGTCCTAGCTTCCCAGTGTAGCTCAGCTAAGTCCAAAATCCACATGGAGGAAGACATCATGYTTACATTCCAACCCTGCAGTTCTCATCAAACGCCAGCCTAAATCTTTAGCTAGCTGTACTAACTCTTTCTTTAGCTGAGAGCAGGCTTAAGAGAACATCTAAATAATCAGCARCCATGAAAGCAGAGAAGTTTTCCAGCTATGTTCATTTCCCCCAAGGAAGCTCCATGTCCTCTGGGAGAGCAACTCAGGAAAGTTATTGTTCCTGCCTTTCTGCCCCATATCAGCATGGCTCAAATCTGTACTCAGTTATGAGCCTGGTCATGCAGGCGATAAACCAATGGACACCAAAAAAAAAGGACAACCCTCCCAAAAAATCCCTGAAGAGCTACAGAAGACAGAATAAAAGTTGTCACTTATCACTTACTGGGGGCTGAAAGTGCATTCCTCCTCCAGCTGCCAGTACCACAGGACGGTTGTGGGAGGAGGGACGGCGTAGACAGTGCAGGTGAGTGTCTGAGTGGAACCGAACTTGTAGGAGTCGACGGGTGCCAGCAACGCGTTCTCACCGATCTGAGGAGGGACTAGAGGAGAGAGGCAGCACGTTACACTTCCAAGGGGGACAGCCTCTCTTCTGTGAGAAAGGAGGGGTATTCTTGGACTGCATGGTATAAAGAACACCTTATAGCAACCAATTCACTTACTGTCCCCTGCTGCTTCATCCTTTAAGAAGCTGGCTGTTCTCAATGACATCTGATCTCAACAGAGAGCAACTCCAATTAAAAAAGTACTTACAAGGAAGAGGTGAAGAAGCCCAACCCCTTACAGGATCTGGACCTCAAGACACAATGCTTAACAGCTCTAACAAAAACCTCTTTCACTATGCATTAGTTTTAAAATGTAGCATTCACATTTGCACTACTAACTGCAGTCATTAAAAGCTTATTACTTCCCACCCTGACCCCTCTGCATTTGGGCTCACTGCCCTTCTCAGGACGTGYGGTCTGCAAAGCGCTCAGGCTAGGCTGCTTCCTGGGGAGCAGAGAGGAGGTGGAGGGCTCCCCGGCAGGGCACAGGAGAAGGGGCAGGAAGGATGGGCGAGGCAGGCCAGGCCGGGCCAGGGTGGGGAGGACTCCAGCAGCAAAGCAAGCAGGAGAGAGCACGAGGGCAGGAAGAGAGCAGGACACAGAGACAAAGAAATAATATACAGAAAATAGAAAGGAACAGACACGCACACGCGTTTGCACACACAAATATCACAACAACTGCCTGCAGTCTCTTGGGAGGTAAATCCTGGATGGGCCTGGGTGGAACAAGGATGAGCCATCTCTGCATTCCCATGACCTAGGTTTTAAGTGATGTCCTTCAGAACCTTTCCCTCTCCCATTATTTAAATCTTCACAGCACTGAAATGAGAGGAATTGAATCCTAGAAATGGTAATATACTTTGTCTACATGCAAAAGAAAGGTACYCCCCACATACCACTTACCGTTTACAAGGACGCTGAATGTATGCATCTTTTGCAACTTGTTAGTGGGGTTTGTAAGTACAACAGTATAATTCCCAGAGTCTTTCTCAGTTGCTTCGTTGATTATTAACGTGTAGCCAAGTTTAACTGTGTGATTTGCATTCATGGATTTTCCATTTTTATACCTGGAGAAAATGTATGGTGCTATGAATATTTCTGGGATTTACCTCAACTAAGAAAAGTTCAGTTGTTCTAACATTTTTTGCCCTGATTCTTACCATTTTGCCTCTGGTGGAGGATATCCTTTATACCTGACAGGAATTTTGACTGTATCACCTATCTTTGTCTCAACCACGTTCTCCATTTTCTCCAGATGGATAAAAGGTCTTTCTGCAAAATAAATAAATAAACACGGTCTTTTCTCATCGACTGAAATATAAATGGTCTCCATTTGGGTTTGCATTCAACAGCAGATGAAAGAGAAAGGCATATACTGGGGTGCCAGGAAACAGCACGGGCAGCTTCAAACAAGCCCGAACCCTAAACCCCAAGTTGAACTCTGCAGAGATGGACCCACCTGCTCACAACCCTTTCCTCACACAGACCAGCTCCCTCACTGGGGAGTTCTCCAATGCCATGGAGACAGAGTTGGCACAGTATCCCCCTCCTTTCACATACATATATGTGTATCATAAAACAGCCTTGACACATTTAAAGAAATAATAGTATTCAAAAATGCAAGTGATAGTTACTTAATTGAGAAGAGGCTGAAAAATATTTATTTGAACACTCTATTTGCAGTCACAGAATACTCTGAAATGGTGTACACTATATTTAATAATCAACATTCGGACTAAGAGAGTGGTTGGCCCACTGGCTAAGGTTTAAGGTGGCAGTGATTTAATATCTGGTACGCTCACTACAGCAAATGATCTGCATCTGTCTCCTGGGCCCTTTCTATCTTAAATCACTGTCGCATAATAAGTTTGAGGGCAAAAAKGGAAAACTACTACGCCCTCTTAAACTAGACCTCAGGAAAACCAACTGCTCTCCTCCAAAACACAGAAAAATCTCTGCTGACAGTCAATTAAAAATCAGCCATTCTCACACTGTCAAAAGCCTTCAAGAAATAATCCAGCGGAAAATGCTGGGGCTCTGCCCAAGGGGGCCTTGAGAAAAACACTATAGGATGTGGCCCCATACTTATCTATGCACTTAACCAAAGTCATTTCCTTTGCATCGTTTCCGTATGACCAGAAATGGAGTCAGATATACACAGCATAAAGAGCAAAAGAGTTCTTCTCCTACTTTGGGAGACCGTCTCCTGGCTCACACAGCCACTGTTTCAGAGAGTCACCAGAATCTAGCATAGGTTCATTTGGTGTGAGAAAAGCCAATTTTTATACAGTTATCCACACAAACTACCTTTACAGTACAGTACAGAACGCCATAGAAGTTTATTTCACTGTCCATTTTCCCATGGGATTTTATATCTCTCAGTAATAATCACATTCACTATTCTTAACACACTTACAATTTGTGAAATAAATAYAACCATTGAAGAACATGCTAGCGAGTGAAATAATGTAGTTAATTGCTGTATACTGAAGTTGTTTGACAAATGAATTACTCATATATCATGCAGATTCTGCATCCTAGTAATCAATCCCAACACTAAAACAACCAATAGAACTGAATGTGAACATCCCATACCATGGATAACGAAGTAACTACTGTTTTTCATGTTCATACGTCCACTGGATGCTGCACAAGTGTATCGACCTTTATCACTTAAGGAAACGCTGTCAATGGTAAGAGTGCTTACAAATTTCTTCACTTCTCCTGCAGTGGTTTTTAAATCCCTTATGGTTGCACGCTTTTCCTGTAACAGAAAGAGGATAGAATTGTTTTGAAATTGGTTTATGCTTACTCTTCCTCTCAACTTTTGCAAAACTGTATATACAACAGACTAGACTTTTTGTATCATCAGCTGTTTTGCTATTATCACAAAAGAGGAAACAACACTCCAACTAAACCTACTTTTCCTGTGATGTCAGCACCTTTAAGTTATAGTTTTACCTTGATCGAAGGGTAGTCCCATTTAAAATCAATCCCCACATTCAGCTCCGTCCTTACAGTACAATTCAGAACCAGCTTTTCTCCCACTGCCAGTTCTACTTGGTAATGTGGGCTCATAGTTAGGTCATAAATTCGGTATCCTAGAAGAAGAAAAAAGGCACACAAAATTAGAGGGGAAAAGTCTTTTTTTATGGTGTTTAACAGGCATTTTCCTAGTCTGCTCAAAGTTCTGGTGGTGCGTGGTCACTGGCTAAAGAAGCCTGGAGAGAAGGGCTATGTCTGCACTGACCACTTCTGATCTGTAAAGCGCGGGCTGCATCGGCCAGCAGCGAAGCAGGACATAGGTGTTTGATCAGAGTCCTCCCCAATGGGGCTAAGAAGCCTGAAGTACGAAGGCAGACAAGAAAAGCAAAGTCCTAATGTGACACCCCCTCTGCAGATCTCCCATTCCCTGGTTGCTCCCTCAGAGCAACTCCTTTCCATCTCCTGACAAGATATGCCTGCCCCTCATTCCCTTCAGTTTTGACTCAGACTCTAGATAAGCAAATAAAGCACAGAAGAGAGTGACTTTAGGGAAAAAAAAGAAAAAAAAAAAAACAACAAAAAAAAGGCTTGCATTGTTAGAAAAAATTCCCAGCATCTATGTAAAACACTAAAAATAGAAGCACTTATCGCAACAGTCAAGCAGAAAGAACATATTACACTGCATTTAAAAGTAATATATATCACAACCCCCATTGAATTAGATGCACTGTCAGTGCTGAATAGCCTACAGTCTAAGAAAATGTAATTGGTTCAGTATGTTGTATCAAGAAAAATAACATAAGCTATTGAGAAAAGAATATTGGCTTACCTACAACTGCAACTATGTATATCACAGACTGGTAACTTTCATCATTTATTTTAGCTTCACAGAAGACCATGCCTGCATAGTTGATTAAATGACTGGGTATAGTGAAGCCTTTTTTATTATTCCATGAAATTGATTTACCATCAGGAACAAATATTTTCTCGGGATATCTCTGTTTGAAATATTGATAAAATATGTAAGTAAATTCCAAAAAGAAAATCAAGAAATTAAAGTTTTAAGTCCAGCATTTCCCATGCAGKATGATCCTAGTTTTAACACCTTATYGCAGGTATTCTTCCTTTCACAGACTGTATTTYCATAGGACATTCCTGCACAGGAGCAGGAATGAGTCTAGTTACAACAGTCACTTTCAAATCATTGGCTGTAAAATTCCCACAGAAAGAAAGAACTTTTTAAGAAATGTATTTATACTTTAAATGATGTATTTAATCATATTGACTTTAACTAATAAAACAAGAATGGGCTTTTTCCTTACCGCATGTAGAGATACATTGAGATTTGATACAGTTCCAAGGCATGGTACTAGCACTGTTTTATTCTTAGTGATGTATACAATGCCAAGCTGATCACTCACTGAAGTCACAAACGGAGATCTATAATCTAAAAAAACATTTGGTTGGCAACATAGATGCTATTTGTCAAGTGATTTTGAAGCAAAATGTTTCCATTTTTTTCCCCCTGGTTATTCATTATTTCTTTTTCTTTCATAAAACACTTAAATGATGAGAGCAAAKAGGGAGGGGGCTATGTTTTGAAAGGCCCACAGTTTTATAATACCATTATTCTCAAAACAGTTATCAACAGGAGTGCACACTTCAGAGAATAGCTTCCTGCCACAGCACACGTTGGGCTGGCAAAACTCTGATTTACMCTAGGATGACTTTGCTTGCATAAGCATTACAGGAAATATCAGTTAAAGTAGTGACATGCCATAACACTCCCTAAACGGCATGGTCCTTTTCAAAGTGACTCCAAAATAAAGTCTGTGATCTTACAGGACTAATCCATGTATATAATAATTCTCCAATTTTCAAAAATGTTAGCCATAAGTTAGCATAGGAAGTAAAGAGGATGCATGAGAATATGGGTATCGACATGAGTGCTAGAAAGGCAGATGTCTTAGTGTATGTATGTTCTTAGCTGAGTGTAGAACSAAAGGCTTTGCAGGGACTGCCACCCACATCTGCGTTTCTAGCAGAACTGAAAGCTTGAAACTTAGTTTTTAAAACATAAATAGATTTTACTATTATTGTCAACAATTGCATGGTTTTTTTTTTTTTTGAACAGTATCAGTACAATTGGTAAAAGGGAGGGAGGGAGGTCCGTTTCAATAAATATATGCAATCTCTACAATCCCCCCCTCTCATACGAAACTCATACAAACTCATACTGAAGTCATTAATAGCTCTGCAATCATGAGGAAGGCTCAGCRCACAGAAGACAGAAGCAGGGTAAGCTCTGGGCTGAAGAGAAAAGCACACCAAGTACTGTATATGGAAGGCTAATTTAAAATTTGGAATATGGAAATTTTTCTATTGATGGCAGCAAGCATATTGGCATGCAACTACTCGAGATGAAAATGAGTAAGAAAAACAATCATTTCATAGGAATGAAAATTCTAGCATTTATAAATTTTAATGCCAAAGTCACTTCGAGATGCTTGATAGCCTTTATCATTTTGCAGGTAAGGACTGTGCAAGCACTTACCTTGAACATAGACATAAATGGTGGTAGCTGCCTGGTTATCCCTGTAAAGGCACCTGTAATCTCCTGTGTCGTTGCCTATTACTTTTAGAAGGGTAAGTGTCTTACAGTAGGGACCATCGCTGCAGTTTGTCACCGCGATTCGCTTCTCGGTGCTGCTCTGGTTGTTGGGCCAGAACCAGTCCAGCGCTCGCTGACCACTAGGAAAGCAAACATCAGAGAGAAGCATTAGCACATGGTGGGCACCAGTACTAGTGCCAAGCTGGCAAAACTCAGGGAGGTTTTGCCACAAAGGGAGGGATGAAGGGGGAGAGAGAGATTCGTCTGTACTTCTGTACAAATGCCCACTGCATAAATCACCTACACCAAAATTACACTTGGCCAGGTTTGCTCTTACCTGCAAGTAATATTGAGAGTAGCATTTGCAGTTATTGTGAGGACATCTTTCTGGATGCTAAGACTTGGCTGATCCAGAGAAATACATAAACCTGCAAAAATATATATGGTAAACTTCAAATCAAGGCAATAAGATAACAAAAATAAATGCTATTCAATCAGCAATGCACAATATATGCCGTAAGTTTTAAGTGGACACTTTTAACATCATCCGCCTAACAGTGTAGGGGTAAATAATGACTTTTCACACATCCCAGAAAGTTCAAAAACTCTGTCATAACAGGAAGACGAGGCAGATGGTCGGGACCTCTCCATGGAGCACTACAATTCACCGAGCCAGGGTGGAGTTCCTGTTTTCTTGCATGGCCAACTTCAAGGTCTACCGAGAGGATGTGGGACATTGAAATACAGCAAGACCTTCATGTGATGATCTCACCCCCTGGGGAAAGGCAGCACCGGCTTTTCTTACAACAAACGGAATATATTTATACGCTTCGAGCCTGCTGATGAGGGGACGCTGAGGCGAATTAGGTGCCGTGTCCACCACAAATGGAAGGTGCCGAGATCCCAGCCCCGCTCTCCATCCCCGCCCGCGCTGCTCGGCGCTCGGGGTGCCGCCGTGTCCCACCCGCCGCAAAGGCTCCCGCCGCTGACAGGTCTCGCGCCCGCGGCGCCCGCGCGCCCCTTCCCCGCGGCGGCTCCCTGCCGGGCAGCGCGCCCCGCCGCCGCTTACCGCGAGGCAGGCAGAGCAGAGGCAGGAGCAGCAGCGGCAGCGCCGCGCCGAGCGCCATGGCGCT